TCTGTTCTTGGTCTAGTATCACTGGTTTGTCCACAAGGACTCTAAGTTTGTGGTTGTTTTAACTATTATTTAACTAACTATATCTGTTTGTTTGTTTACTTTTCAATTTACTAATGATTTGCAGATGTACGGGAAAGAGTTTGCAAAGTTTCCTAAATAAGTTTATTTAGTATATTAAGTTAAAATTAATTAATAGAAATTCATAAATTATAAGATTTTATAAAATTTGATTAATAAAATTTATCAACTCTTTCTAATAATCTCTTGTACCAAAAAATACAACAAACTTTTCTTTCAAAAAACAGTAGACTATGGTAGAAAAGAAAAGTATAAGACTGATAAAAACTATAAACCAGTATCTGTTATTTAGAGATAGTTCTCATATGCTACCTGCTAACAGGCTCAAAGCTTATCACTTACTGTGAAGATGGCATTTGTTATTTAGAAGTAGTTCTTATATGCTACTTGCTAACAAGTTTAGGGTTTATCATCTACTGACAATAAAATTAGCAATAAACTTGATACTTTATGTTTTATTACTTTTAGAAAAAAATATACGCTTCTTTAAAAAGAGTACAAAAGCTATCTTTTACACTATCACCTACTTGCTTATTTTTCAAAATTTTCAAAAAAAGTAGGCAAAACAGCTTACCCTGTCAAAAGATCAGCATTGTTTACTTCTTTCAAATTTGTTGATCTGGTAGATTGCAACTATGTGTTTTGTTTAGAAATAAATGCATTGCTACTCCATATAACAAGGCCCACTGACTAGTTTTCAGTTAAAGACATATCTGAATTTGGTCATAGAGTTGGAAAGAAACCAATATGTTAAAGCAAAGTCTTATAGTAAAAATATATAGATGTTGTATTTGTTATATAATTTTTTAGCCTTGCACAGGTTATAATAGTGTACTTTTTCTCATAGATGGTTCTTATTAGAACTATCTACTTCTGTTTTTTTGCTTTTTTTATCTTTGTTTTACTATAATGAAATTATATTTAGAATAGGTTCTCTCTTTAGTTTTTTGTTATGTTTATTTGTTTTTTTTTTTTTTTTTTTTTCTTTCTTCTGTCTTGTTCTAGATAGTTTTTTTTCTTATAAATGTAGTATATATTGTTATTTTTTGTAGAAGAATAAGAAATTAAATATTTTACCCAAACTTAGATAGAAAAAGTCTTAAAAAACAAAATAGGTAGTCCTAAATGAGCCACCACTATTACCTGTTTAAAATCTAAACAGTGTAACAGAGTATATCTAGAACTAAATAGTAACTAGGTGGTGCTAGCCTTCAGAGTTTTAAATCATCTATAGTATAGTATAGAAATTTTTTTTTTTGTAATATGGATTATGTTCACTCAAAGTGCCTAGCAGGCTTGTCAAAGAATAATAAAAAAAAAAAAAAAGATTAATAAAATTCTATAAAATCTTATTATTTGCAAAATTTTACTAATTAATTCTAACTTCATATACTAAGTAATTTTGCTTAAAACTTAAAAATATATTAAACTAACAAAATTGTTTTTATTTTATTTTATTTTTTTTTCAATGTTAAGGTAACCTCTATGGCTGTGGGCTTTTTATTAGATAATTAACAATGTTTACAATTATGATGAGGGTATACGTACAACTTTTGGTTGTCTATTTAAGTAGTTCACCTGAGTTCTACACTAGCTGTCATACCTGCAATCTAACTAGGAGATTACCTATTTAAGCTCTCTGGCTTTTACAAGTGAGAGTATGACTAGCCATACTTGCAACTTTTGGTTGCTTATTTAAGTAGTCTGCCTAAGGTTCTACACTAGCTGCCATATCTGCATGTTTTTATTTTATTTGAAATTTGGAGAAATAATACTTAAATTTGATTTTTTTGATCAAAATTTCAAAATTATACTGTATATTTATTTTTCAAATTTTAAGTAAAATAAAAATAATTTTGCTAGTTTGATATATTTTTAGATATAAACAAGATTATTTAGTATATAAAATTAATAAAAATTTATAAATTATAGGATTTTATAAAATTTTATTAATAAAATTTTATAAAATTTTATAAATTGCAAAATTTTACTAATTAATTCTAACTTTATATACTAAATACTGTAATCTTATATAGTATCTAAAAATATATATAAATATATATAAATATATTCAAACTCAAACTAGTTTGCAGACTTCAGACCAGACTTAGACCAAACTTATAATTGAGTTTGAGTCTGGTTTGAAGTTTGAAACTTGTAAAATTTAGAGTTCAAGTCTAGTCTGATCTCAAACCAGACTCGAACAAAACCAGATCTAGAAATACTAGTCTAATTTTATTATAATTACTTTTAATATATATAGTCACAATCTTGTTATAATTATATTTTTTTGGTTTAACTATTATAAAATATATAAAATTTGATCTTTATTTAGTCACAACTTTTTATAATCACCAAAATTTTGTTTTCTAATCTAGTAATTACAGTATAACAAGATTAAATAAACTATATTAAAAAAAACTTTATTAACAAAATTGCAATTTATAAACTACAAAATAGTTTTTTTTTAAATTTACTCTATATTTTTATAAGATATTTTTCTTTCAAAAATATATTTTACAGAAAGTTCTCACCTGTGCGCATCTAACAAGCTATTTTTTTATATCAAGATCTTGAAAACTCAAAAAGAATCTTGTAAAAAAAAAGCAAAATAAATGCTTATCTTTGAAGAGGTTTTATATTATCTAGTAATGTTAGTTTTTTATATTCTTTATACTATTTGATTTATTGAAGCTCTGGCAACCTATTTTTTTAAGAAATGTTATATGTTGTAACTAAGACTTGGGGGAAAATTTTAAAAATATAATTTTGTTGAAAATTGATTTACTGTATGTATTCTCTACTCTTAATTCTGTAATTTTTTTCATAATACTGGTTAAATTTATAGTAATCAAATTAGCAATTTCAAACTTTTAGAACTTTAAACCTCTAGCATAAAGAAAAAAAAAATTTATATTTTACAGTATATTTGATCTGATTTTTTTAATTTATAGAAAGAATTATAAATTGCCTAATAAATTGCCAGATAACACTCTTTTCGTTATCGGGCCGAATTAACAATTTGACACAACCGGTGATTTCTAGTTCTTTATACTAGTACCTCACTCGATATGTGTTTGTGAAGCGGTTGATCTTTTAGCTATTCATTTATTAACCTGCTCACGTGAAGGTCGAAAAGAAAATATTTATATTATTACTATATTATGTGCTGGCATTATCAGAAACGCTTTTCTAATAAAAGTTAGTGGTGCACTTGATCTAACTTGATCTGAACATTTGTATGAAAATTACATTTTTAACGAAAAAAAATTATAGGTGGCTTTAATTACGTATAAGTTTACTGTAAAATAATATAAAAAATTTGAGCAACAATACCTTCCAATCAACCAATGAAACGAATTTCTCTCATACTAAGCCTGCTAAGCAGATTTTTTTATTGTTGGTCGATAGTTAAGAATCCCTACTAACACTAATTATGTCATAAATAATGACCTCGAAACTTATAAAAACTTTAGCAACTTTTTTCTTGTATAGTGCATTATTCATATTTCATAATGAAGCAATTACATGGTTTCAAACTGCAAGATATACATCGAGTTCTCTTTACTTGGTCAATAATATTGGTTTAAATGATATAACTGGGACTGTAGTGGCTTTTGCAGATTTCAATTCAGATAAATAGTAAGTGATAATTTTTTTTTTTTTAAATAATGTCAATTATCATAAATTAAAGTTCAAATAATTTCTTATAATTAGTACAGATTTAATAGTTTTAACTGCCGATCAGACAACTATCAGCATTTACCTTTGGGATCATGGTAACAAATTAATTGAATTCGTTTCTTTTTCAAGTAATGCACAATTTAGTCACAACTTACATTTCTATTTTAATGTTAATAGCATCCTACAAATTTACTAAGGCACCATCGGCAGACATAACAATAACTACTGATGGAAATAATGCAGGCTTTTTAATTACAAATGTATTACCAGGAGATTATAATTATGATGGTATTTTGGATGTTCTGATTATGGGTCAAGCGAGCCCGGGTGACTCTTCTAAAGAGCTTTATATGCGCGTTTATATGGGAAGTGGAAACAACACATTTGGTGAGTTTTTTCCAAGTGCTATTATCGAGTAAGATTCATTATCAATTAACGTAATGATGTTAAGGGACGTTAAGTGATATATTTTAATTACGTTCGTAATTTTAATAGACCCTAATTATTATAACGTTCCCTCATCTACGGCACAGCAACCTATTCCGCTTGATTTTTATGGCAATATGAAAGTTGATCTACTTGGGCATCAATTTGGCAATAGTTCACATATTTCAATATGGAAAAATGTGTTCAACACAACAACCAGAACATTATTCGATGTGTAAAGATCCTGTTTATTTCTTGTAATTGATTATTTTAATGTCATAATAACTTTTGAAATTTATTATAATTCCTAAGTGTTCAAATGCCGGTGAATGGCGCATTTCAAAATTGTACAATATCGGATCCACATTCAAATGCTTTTATTGATCTTAATGGTGATTGCTTGGCCGGTATGCAAATTGATACGATGTTGCGAATAACCAAATTTTTATTCACATAATTTATTATATCACACTTATTTACTGTCTAGATTTGTTCCTCACATGTAGAGAGAGTTCTAGTTCACCATTAACATATCAAATATGGACAAATATAAAGGGGGGATTTACATTTAGTCGATCAGGAAATTTACCAGATGGAACAGGGCAAATATCTTTCGCAGATATGGGTTAGTGCCTCAATAATGACAATAATCACAATAATTTTATTGGAAATTATATTAAATCTATTTGAATCTCTAGATGGAGATGGAGCGATAGACATGGTCTATCCGGTTTGTTCTGGTGGTACCTGCAAAATTCATATAGCATATAACAAACAGATACCATTGTGTACTGATTCAAATAGTGGATGCCGACAATCATCAAACTTATGTCTTGCGGATGACAACTTTTCCTTTAATATACAAACATCTTCAAATGAAGTAGGTTTATCACGTTGATTATGAATTATGGGCTTTAAGCTTTCATTTATAACATTATAACATAATTTTCTCTATATTTTAAAGAATTATTCTATAATAGATATTTCGAGCGAACTGCCGGATGATGGGACTATTGTGACAACAGATTCGACATTCAAAGGAAATTTACCCATTCCGATCCGAATTGGTAGGTTATCATTTACATAATATTTCGCATTTGTACCAAATTTATGTTAATATTTTTTAATAATTCTTTTAGGGGATTATAATTTTGACGGATATCCTGATATACTTATAATTAGTTCATCTGGTTCTACATATCGTGCATCACTATTTCAGTCGGAATTATGCACATATCAAAAATGTAGTTCGTTAGAAGTCTCGTCGCGAAAGCGTACATTTACCAGAGTTATAGATGGTGCTTCACCTCTAAATGATATCACAGATGCTAGATCCGCTGCATTTGTAGATCTTGATGAAGATGTAAATAAAATACTTGAATATTTGATTGAATTATGTTAAATGAAATTATTTCTAACTTTCATGTTTTACAGGGAACATTGGATATTTTAGTTTTAAAATCTACTTCTACTAGAGTTAATATGATACACAATAATTATTTTAATGATGCATTCTTTATCAAGGCTCTAAGTACATATGACTATCAATTTATATACCTTTTCATCGTTGATTTACTCATTAATACTAATGAAATTTGAATTTTACTTTTGTAAAGTGTTGAATGGAGTTGCTGAAAAACAGGTATTGTTTATTTCTTACTTTGATATATATGTATTCTCTTAAATAGCTATGTTTTGCTTATGCTTTGTGCTAAAATGACAGGGATATGGTGTAAGCTATTCCGGTGCATCATACAAATTTACTATTCTTGATACGTCAGGAGTTCAAAGAGCTAATCAAGGTAATTTGTTGATAATTTCGAAAATTTATAAAAACGAACTGACAGAATAATTGTACTCGAAAACCTTTAGTTGCACAATATCCTCAAAGTGCATATCAAGCGTTACAAACGCCTTATTCGCTTTTTGGTCTTGGACGCACAAATAATTACGTTGATTTATTATTTGCTGGATCTACACGTAATCAGGTTTTTATTTGCTATTTATTGCTTAAGCGAAGGTCTGTGCTATTATTATATGTTTATCTAACAAATAATAACCAAAAAAGCAATTTTTTTTTTATTTTATATAACAGACTTTATATTATACAACATTCTCCGGCGTGATTCCAAATTCTCAATTGATTATTGTACCTTATCAACCTCCAAATGTTTTTGATCCTTCTACGTAAGTCTAAATTTCTTATATGTATTTTTATATTTTCGACCATAAATGTAGCATTTCGAGAAACATTAATATTTTTTTATTACAGTTGGTCGTTGGAATTATTCATTCATCCGGGAGACTGGATACCATGGGTATTATTAGTGTTAATAATATCTACAATTGTTATGGCGATCATTGTGGTAATTTTGAATTGGATGGAAAAGGTTAGTTCTTTTATTTGAAGTTTTTGAGTTTAGTCTGCTGCTTTAAAAAATTAATTACCTTGTTTTTATAGAGGGAAGATGAACTAGAAAGGAAGAAAGCTTCACATATGATTCATTTTGGTGCTTTGTAATTATAAAACAAGATTGGTGGGTGTTTTGATTTTATTGTTTAGGGCTTAAGAGCAATACACTATGAGTTGTGTTTTTTATTGCGCGACTGACACAATTACAGGAGCTTTTTTTTATAATTTGTAAATATAAATACGCCTTGTTTGAATAAGGCGTAGTTTTAACAAAACTATATAACATTTATAAATTTTGGCCTAAATGCAGTGTATCATATATTTAACATAGTAATTTCCAAATATGGCATTAACCAATATTCCATTATTCAGACCTAGGTCTATGCCTGTCATAAATTAGAGTATTCCTCATTCTTTATCTTAACATTTTTTCATTAAATCAAATATATTGTATATTTAGATACGAAAATTTATTAAACTACAATTGATGTTTTTTTGTGGAGTAATAATTTCATTTGTATCAATAATATCGAATATTCGACGAGTTACGTTGGAATTTTAGGTGTTACTATTTAAATTTTATTAAAATCAATACAATAATTCAAATTATCTTCATTTTAGTGTTTGAATTTAAATGATGCATATTTAGTCAGTTCTAAAAGGATACATTTAAGTCTTGATCATGTCAATATTTATACAAAAGGTGGTATTAATATTTATACTATATAAAAATTAAAGATTAATATTCGTAGAGAATTTGTAGCAAATAGGCAATAAAACATCCACTTTTATAAATTTCGATTGGATAATTTCACATGATTACATGATAGATAGTTAATTTTGTTGGCTTATTCATGGTTGTCTCAATTTGGTTAAAATAGTCAATGTTTTAAGTTGGTATAATACTGTCAAAAAAGTAAAAATCTTACAAAAAAGTTTACTTAAAAACTATCTATATGTTAAAGAGTTTTTTTTTACTTGTCGCATTATGTTTTGTAGAGCAATTAATAAATTGATGGTGTAACCGTACTTTTCAACTTTATCGATCATGAAAATCCTTACATTTTCCTACGTTCGATAAAAACCAATTTTCAACTAAAAATTTGAAGAAAAAAAGAATGGCAGATATAGAATATCTTCGTAGTCTTATCAAAGAAATACCAGATTTCCCTCAAGAGGTAATTTCAGGGGGTTAATTTAACTATTATATATTATCAAAATTAATTTATTAATGGTTACTTCAAAATAGGGTATCTTATTTAGAGATATCTTTCCAATTTTTCGAGATCCAAAAGCAACTGAAATGCTTGTAAGCCATATCGTAAATCATATTAATACAACTATTAAGGAAAAGATTGATGTCATTGTTGGTAATTTATTTCATCAGCTTTTCGATTCTTTTTTATTATGAGTAATCGATTTCACATCATTACCGGCTTTTTTTATAAATCGTGAAAAAGGTCTTGATGCTCGAGGGTTCTTATTTGGGCCTATTGTTGCATTAAAGTTAAATGCTGCTTTTGTACCTTCTAGAAAAAAAGGAAAATTACCGGGAAAAACATTTAGTGCTGATTTTAAAAAGGAATACGGTGTGGTATGATCAACGAGTGTTCAGGTTTATTTTCTTATTTATTGTCGGGGATGATGCTGAAATTGGCTGATGCTGAAATTTAGAGTCCCCATTTAAATCTATAATACCTACTAAAATTCACATATACTTTTTTACTAACAACACTAAACCTAAACCCTAACCTAACCCTAAAAAAAAACCCCCTAATGAAAAGACCCGAAAATTTTTTAAAATTTCATAATAAAATAGGTCAAAATTTCAGCATCATCCGATTTCAGCTTCATCCCCGACATTTATTATAAAAACTTAACAATTATTATAATTCAAATTATAAGGACTCATTTGAAATGCAAGTGGATGCAATTAAACCTGGTCAAAATGTAATTATTGTAGATGATTTAATTGCTACAGGTTCGTGTGGTTTTTCTTATTTTTAATTTAGTAAGAAAGAATGCGCTTAAACTCCCTCGCGTTATTGTGTTTGATAGGAGGCACGGCTGCGGCGGCTGGACAACTTGTGGAAAAAAGCGGTGGGAAACTTTTAGAATATATCTTTTTGATTGAATTAGCAGATTTAAATGGTAGAAAAAATCTTGTAGCTCCCGCATATTCTATGATCACATTCTAGCATTTAGACACATACAGAATATAGCTGTTATTAAATATGTTGATATTTAATAATCTTATTTATTTGAGGATTTAACATCTACATTTATCTTAAAAAAATTATCATGACAAGTAATTATATAGTGCATAGTTATATCTGATATTGTGTATTACTTAACAAGAGATCCCTTTTAGAGTCTTGACATCGGATTTTTCTCTAAATGTGCTTAGAAAAAGTTTGTTATAGTAAAATATTTCTGATTTAAATTCTCCAGACTAGCCTACAATTTTTATAATATCCGGATATCAATAGTAAAACGGATATTCGAATAAAGTCAAATCTGGATATCCAATAGATAACATGGCCCAAGATTTTTTGTTCAACAATTACCACCTGAAATAGTACAGTATATCTCAGTTTTGTCCCATTTACATATATAGTCAAATAAGTATTTAGGTTCATTCATATTTGAATAACAAGAAAATAAAACTTCAATGTATTTTTCGTGTAACACTCATGAGTTATTTCGAAAATTACATTGCCAGAGAATAACATTCATGGCTTCGAAATGATGCCATGCGCACCCTGTAATAACGCGCATGTTTGCTCAAAGAATTAGCCAATTATGTATATGTCGGACAATTAGCCTTAACTCAAAATAACTGATAACGCACATGCGCGTACGTACTTGAAATAACACACATGGCAGATAGATCAAAATAACACGCAGGTTGCGTTATTACGCGAAAATACGGTACTAGATGCGGGTGCATCCTCACTTGTGAGGTTATTGTTTCCGGCAATTATATTAAAAAAAAAAGGTTAACATACTGACCTCGTATTTGCTTCGAAATTAAGATCAAAGTTCCATCGAAATTAGTTCAAAATGCCCGGTA